ATAATAATAATAATAATATTATTATTATTATTATTATTATTATTATTATCATTATTATTATTATTATTATTATTATTATTATTATTTTTATCAAGAGCAGTAAACCCGCAGGAGTCATAAAGCGTGGCGGTGGAAGGTTGTGTATATTGTATTACAGAACTCACATCTGACTGACAATTGTTTGAACGTTCATCCCAGAGTTGGAAATGTTGGAATGTGAATGTTGGAATGAGGGCTATCAAGGCATTCCTGTTGGTTATTGGTTAATGGATTCTCCATTTCTCCCTCCCTCCCTCCCTCTCTCTCTCTCTCTCTCTCTCTCTCTCTCTCTCTCCTCTCTCTCTCTCTCTCTCTCTCTCTCTCTCTCTCTCTCTCTCTCTCTCTCTCTCTCTCTCTCTCTCTCTCCTCTCTCTCTCTCTCTCTCTCTCACTCTCTCTCTCTCTCCTTTCTTTTACACAGAGTTTGACAAGGTGAGGTTATGGATCCCTAGCTTTATTGACAAGCTATTTACACACCATACCACGGGTGGGGATAGAACCCGCGATCAGAGAGTCTCAAAACTCCAGCCCGTCGCGTTAGCCACTAGACCAGCTAGCCACAATAAGATTCGTCCAACTAGGTATATTTCTACACCATAGGAAGGTTAGCACAGGCACCACTGTGACCACAAATGCAAGTTTTTACAGACGATTCTCCAGCTAGCGTGGCCGTGACGAACTCTAGCTCAAGTCCCCTCATAGCTGGCCTAGTGGCTAACGCGACGGTCTGGAGTTATGAGACTTTGATCGCGGGTTCTAACCCCATCCGTGGCATGGTTTGTTTGCAATCGTGTCATTACGATTTCGTGAATCATGTTATTTACAGGTTAATGATTTCTAACTTTATTGACAAGCTAAGAGCTGTTACCTACATCAGCTCATTTGAAAGCATTTTTATTGTTATGAGACACACAAGTAGGGAACAGGATTAAGTTGGGGCCATCTGTGGGCCAGTTGTGGGCCAGCATTTTCCTTTGATCAACTGACTTTATTTCGTTGACATCATAATTCTGTACGAATGTGTTCCAGACTCGAGTCATCCTGGGGATAAATGATCTCAGATGAAGTGATGTTCTGGAGAAGGGTACAGCCATAGTGAAGTTGCTGCTTTCTGCCGGTCTTGTGGTATAGACGCTTGCTTCACGCTGTCCTCGAAGTGGATCCAAGTGTGGTACTCTGACAATATTGGCCTTGTACATAACAGAAAGGCCACACACATCCCTCCTTTGTTGAAGGCTCTGCTGAAATTACGGATCTATCCAGGATTGGTCCAGGTGAAAGATGAGAGGAGAGGCAGGCAAACCAATAAAGTGGAGTATACTCAAGGTGTGAGCGTACTTGTGCCTCGTACAAAATCTTGCAACCCCTACTGTCAAGCAGATGCGAGAAACGGCAAAGTGCTGTTAGCTTCCTGGCTGCCTTGTTTGCAAGATTTACAACGTGGTTCTTCATGGTCAGTTTGGAGTCAGATTTCACCCCAAGGATATCAACTTATTCCCCAGGTACCAACACCCTCCCATTCATCCTTACTAATGCACCAGCATTGCCATCATGGTGCCTAGAGACCATCATCATTTGTGTTTTCTCAGGTACAAATGTTACTTGCCATATATTTCCCCAAATTGATATAGCTCTTAGCTTTTGATAAATGTAGCTTAGAGCAGCTGGCATTTCTTCTCTTGGATAAGTGAATGTCAGTGTACAGTCGTCTTCATATGCATGGGATTCTGGGATGAGATGAAGGTCATTGAAGTAGACATTCCATAACAATGGTCCCAGAACACCTCCTTGTGGAACACTTGCCCCAATAGGATGTCTTGCTGATTCCGTTCCATTGAGAACTACACTTAGAGATCTACCATGAAGGTAATCACTGAGGAGACATAGCGTAGAGCCTGCAATTCCCAGTGCTTGAAGTTTTGCTAAGAGGCCCTGGTGCCACACCCGGTCGAAAGCACCAGCAATGTGCTTTCGACACCTCTCTTTCTTTCTCTCTCTCTCTCTCTCTCTCTCTCTCTCTCTCTCTCTCTCTCTCTCTCTCTCTCTCTCTCTCTCTCTCTCTCTCTCTCTCTCTCTCTCTCTCTAACACGACGATGATCTGTATGACACACGGGTTAATGTTTGGCATTATTCTTCTTCCTCTTCCTCTTCTTCGTTTTCTTCTTCTTCTTCTTCTTCTTCTTCTTCTTCTTCTTCTTCTTCTTCTTCTTCTTCTTCTTCTTCTTCTTCTTCTTCTTATTATTATTATTATTATTATTATTATTGTTGTTGTTGTTGTTGTTGTTGTTGTTAACCCAGTTATCACTTTCATGGGGAAGCGCTATACCCATTCAAGTCATTCATCACCCGTGAGGGGGGGAGGAGAATTGTAAGAGCTGACAGCCTGAGAGAATGTATCTAGCTGCAACGATTACCACAGACGAGGTAATCGAACCACTCTCCCCAGCTCCCTCCTCCTTCCC